TGCTTCCCTGGGCTGGGACTCCTCAGAACACCCAGCCTGGCCCCCTCTGGGGGCGACCCTCCTCCCTCTGCCCACCTGCTTCTGGTCTTTGGCCTCCACCCAACTGTTTTCGCTCCTGATCTTCTTAAATTATTCAGCAAATTATTTCCCAGCTTCAGCTGTGGCTCAATGGCTCTAAACAAGGCAGAAGCTTAAGGGAAACGGATCCTGTCTTCATTTAAAATGTAGATTTTTTTCATCATGGAGTTTGTAGACATGAATTTCTATTTTAAAAGATATTGCATTAAAATATGATTTCTCTGGAATTGTGGGGGTATGGGGCCCCCTTAAGTCTTGCCTCTGAGGCAAGTACCTCATTCACTTCAACCTGGTCCCTGCCCTCATAGAGAGGCTGTGCCATTGGGGAAAGCAGACAGTCCAATCAGGTCACGGTCAGAGCTGTAGGAAATCTAAACCTGGGCAAAGTGGCTGCTGTGTCGGAAAGGTAGTCAGGGAAGGCTTCTCTGAGAAGGTGATGTTTGAGCAGAGACCTGAGTGAAGGGAGGGAGGGAGCCACAAGATGAGGGACAGAGCCACAAGATGAGGCTGGGGAAAAAGCATTCTGGCATAGGGAACAGCAGATGCAAAGGCCCTGGGGAGGGAGGTGCGTTGCCTCCCAGGGATAGCAGGGAGGCAGATGGGGCTGGAGCACGTGGGAAATGAAGACGGAGAGATGGGCCCTGGCCAGGCCAGGACTCTGCATTCTGCCTTGAGTTTGACTGTAGGAAACAGTGGGAGGGTTTTGACGGAGTGGAGAGAGGGTTGACACATCTTAGTCACATGCAAAAGCATCCTCTGGGCGCTGAGTGGAGAAGAGGATGTGGTGGGGTGGAGTGGGAGCCACAGACTGCGCAGGGGGGCTTGCGATGGCCTGGGAGGAGATGGTGGCCTTCTTCCCTGGGTCATTTCAAACTGGGGACCAGCTAGCATCCTGGGGCACGTGCCCAGCACACATGCCGCCGTGGAGTCAGCTCTTATTGCTGTTACTGTGTGACCCCAACAAAAACATTTACTTGTGTGAGCTCCAGGAGGCTCCGTGTAAGCAAAGAAATCTCGCTGAGACCAACACGCACCATTTGATCCCAACTTAATATAAAATGCAATATATATGTGCTGGCTATGAGGCATGTAAGAACAGGGTAGAGACCAAAACACTAACAGCGATTGCTTCTGCTTGGAGGGGTCACAGGCGACCTTTTTTCTTCTTCGTGTTTTCCTTCAGCCCCCCAATTCCCTGCAGTGATCATACAAACCCCCTGTGACTGCTGTTTGTAAAGCTATGTATACAAATTCCAAGCATTATGAGTGTTCTATGTGTACAAAAGACATCTGGACGACCGGGCAAGGGGGATGGATCACCCGTAAGTACTTTTCCAAGTTTTCTGAAGCGCAGTGTTTTTGTTTTTGCATAACCAAATGGTTTTTTTTTAAACAATTAACAGTATTGCAGGTTCTGCCTTTGGACTTAGACAAGGTCAAGGGCTCATTTCCCCACCTGCCCTGGGAGACCCCTCCCCCTGCCCCCTGCCCTCTCCCCACACCCACATGCCCCACCCTGGTTGCAGAAAAGGGCTGAAGGAGGCAGGACAGAGGGATGGGTTCTTCAGGCCCCTATGTGACTGGATGGGCTCTGGGGCTGTCTGGGCAGTGAGCGTGTCACCCCTTCTGTGTGACCTGTCTGCTTAGGGGACCCAGCACTAGGCCTGCCCGCCTGCCCCTGAGCGGTTATGTCTTAGTCAGAAGTCACCACTGGCTCTTGGGAAACTTGCTGCTCCCCTGTGGCCCCAGGGAGAAAGTGACAAAGAGCCTCTAATTCTACTCAGACTCCCCTGATCTTTCCACGAGGCCTGACCTTTGATGTCAGTGGTCATCTGCATTGTCCAGTTTTAGCAGGAATCGTGCTCAGTTGGTTCAGCTAGAATTCCCCATCGAGTTCTTCATCTTCCATCACCCCCATCCTGAGTGAGGTCTGAGCCCCCTGGCCATCCTTCAGCAAGAATCCTGTTGGGTCATTTAAGCCAGAACCCCCGCCCCCCGATGTAATTTCCCATCCACCGCCTCCCATCCTGCTCCTTGACTGTAAACTCCCACTTGCCCGCCCTTGAACAGCATCTCTCTGCTGGGGAGTTTGAGAGCTGGTTACTCAGCGGGAGGCACTGGAAGGCTGGGAGGCTGGCTGAGAGAACCACGCCCGCTACAGCAGGGGTGCCCAGCCCCACACTGAGAGCCTAGAGATGATCAGGCCTGGAGCTGCCCTCTCCCCGTCCACCGCCTAGTTCCCAGACCCCTGGGCAGCTGTGATGAGGTCCCTCCTTCCATCATGTTCTTTACCAGACAGCACCCCCACTTTGGAAGCCTCTGTGGGCCTCTGTTCCCTGCCACCAAAAAGCTCCTGATCCTGTGTCTCCAGCCCCAAGGGACGGCCAACGTCCAGACTCTGCTTGTTGTGATCATTCTTTTACCAAAAGTATCAGATGAGCTGCTCTAACACCCACTGCCCTGGGAGGTGTGGAGGGGAACTTTTTGCAGTCAAAAATGAATGTTTTTCAGCTGGGGTGTGTCAAACAGAATATTCTAGGAAAGGGCTGGGGATAGGGTGAGATGAGTGAGGCATTTGGCTGGGGCACAAAATTTAGGAGGGACACTAACCAAAGGAAATAATATTTCAACATAATATTTTTTAAAATCTTTATTAAAACAAAAATACCCATGATGAAAAATATTCAAAATTTTAAACAAAGACAGCTTGTTGTGTGTTTTAATGACCCTGCGTGGCCGTTATGGCTCCAGCTGAGGGAGATTATAAGTGTTGACACAGGTGAGCCCGCAGCTTGGGAAATGAGGGGCTTTGTGTAAAGTCTTTAAAAACAGGGCATTTATTAACTTTTCCCAATTGGTTAAAAATACAGGAGGATATTTTCATAAGTATATATGCGGTGCCGACTTTTTCGTTTTGCCTCAGCCTCCTTTAAGCTACTACGTCCTTTAAAGAGAGGGAGGATGGTGGGCCCCAGCGGGAGGAAAGAAGGAAGGTAACTAACTTCTCCAGCTGCTCAAGGCTGAGGCTTCTCGGGTGAGGTTCCCGCAGCGGCCAGCAGGGGGCGCTGTGGGGCTGCGCGGCCAGGACCGCTTCCAGGGGATGGAGCCTTAGTCTCTGCACCCTGGTTCCTGACACCCCATCGCTTACAGCTCCAGCACGCCAAGGGGAGCTGATCCAGTTGCTCAGCTCTTCGGTGACAACACAAGGCTATCCCTGAGCACAGAGCACAGAACACAACCCCAGACATTGCTCTTGTATCCTGTAGCCCCCTGCCGCCAACCTGCAACCCCCCAGGACACATAGGCCCTGCCCCGCATCATCTCTGGTTGGATCTTACCGGCCCCCTCCTCAAGCAGCACCCCTAGCCCAGGTGTGGCATGAATCACTAATTGCCAATGGCCTCTCTTTGCGGGGTGGGCAGTGGAGAGAATCTTTCTCAAGGGCCACATTCCAGATCGATTCCAGCTCAGAAGTGAATCAGTCACCACTCTCAAGCCAACCAAAGTGAAATGGGGAGGGGTCTTTTCCTCCCAGAGGCTATCCTGCCTCTTCTCCTCTGGGTCCCCACAGCCCCACGACCCCCGCACTCTGGCTCTGGCTCAGCCTGTACTTGCCAGGGGCCAGGAGGCCCCGGACCTGGCAGTCTCTTTCAAGACTTATCCCTCTAGTCGGCCCAGTCCACCCTCCCTTCTCCTTCCACATGCTGCTTCCGACAGCCACTCTGTCCTGAGCACCCCCACGTGCCCGGCACTGTGGGTGCATCCTCCTCCTCCTGGTACCTGCCTTGCAGGACAGGCCTCATGTTCACTCTTGTTTTAAATTAGAGGTGATTGTGGCCCAGAGAGGCTGAATGACTTGCCCAAGGCCACACAGCGTTGGGAGGCAGTCTGGTTCCAGAGTCCAGCGTTCTATCTTGCAGTACTGTGTCCCTGGAAAGGCCTGTCCTTGCTCTGTCCACCCCGCCCTGCATGTCTGGGTCAGTGCACACAGCTCCTGGCTCGGGGTACTGGCCTTGCTTTCTAAGAGTGGGATTTATTTATTCTCCGTATTTCTGTCCAGCGCCTCTGCCGTGCCAGGCTCAGGCGCTGAAGGCGCAGCCTGCATGCCAGGAGTTCACGGGCTGGAAGACAAGACTTTTCCTGTGTGTCAGCTGAATCTTCCCAGGCAGCCGGGAGCTCTCCCAAGGGGCAGAGGCTGCTTCCTGCCTCTCCTGCAGCCCACCCGGGGGGTGACCTCCTGGCCCCTCCTCAGGGAGTTGATGCTGCTGACGGTTGTCTCCAGGAACAGTGGGCGGGGGCTGGGCAGGGCTGGCCTGAGGCTGTGAGGTGGGGACGGAAGGGGCTGGGAGCTGAGAGCTCAGGGAAGGTGCAGGGGGTTTAAGGCTGGGAAGAGCGGACTTCGTTTCTCAAACACGCAAGGGCTGCCCCCTTACCCATACACCTAGAGCAGCAGGCTGAGAGTGTGGCAGGCCCAGCTCAGGTCTAGAAGGTCAAGGTCTGATCCTTGGCTGGCTCACTAGAGCGCTCGGACCAGCAGGGCCCTCCTTTCTGACTACCTCTCCCTTGATTCCTCCCTCACTTACCCTATTCTTTCCAGGGAGGAGATTTCCAGAACAAAAGATGAAAAGCCCCCGGACTTCTTTTAAACAAACACAGACTCTCTTCCTGCCCTCCGCCCAGCCCCCAAGCCCAGCTTCCAGCCTCCAGCCCTGTGCTCCTGACTAAACAGGTGAGCCCCCACAACCCCGACACGCAGTCCTAAGCCCCAGAGGGGCCCGCCACCAGCCAAGGCTGAGACATAGGTGAGGGGGACACTTGGGAAGGCGGACACCTTCCAAGGAAAAGGGCTGAGCCCTGAACTAAGGAGTGGAGACAGAGGCAAGGGACAGGTGGCAGAAAAAGACCAAATGAGTGCACACAGACCCAGGAAGAACGAGTCTGTTTAATGACACAGCTGGGCCTGGTTACAAACATCAGAAACTACAAAAGGTGGACAGGCAGTGACACGGATGGCTGCACAAAGATGGGACGGGGGACACAGGCACAGTCGCCACAGCAGCGAAACATCCTTGAGGACAATACACGCGACCAAGGGGCACACAGGGGGTTCCCCAGCAACGTGACCTAGGTGGATGGACAGGCCGAGTGCCGGGCCGTAGTCAGGAGGGGCGGGGGAGGGAAGGCCCTCGGCCCCCAGAGCTCCAGGATGAGATGGAGACATCGGGTCCTGTCATCGCTGCCCGGCTGACAGCAGCCTGGATCCCGCTCTGGCCGGGGCTGTCCTAGTGGCAAAGGCGGATGGAGTTGGCGCTTGAGGTTTCTTGACCTTAGCCCCTCCCCCCAGTGCCGTCATCTTGCCCAGAACGCCTGGCCCCTCTGTCTGCCCATTTCAGGGCAAGTCAGGGAGCCGCATCCTTCTGTGGAGGGTAGAGGTAGGGAGAGGCAAATCCTTTTTGCCTGAAGTGGAAAGCAGGAATGTGGGGAGCTAGTCAGAGAGGATGGGCTGGGCTTTGCTGGCGAACTGGGTCCCCCCCACCCTGCCCATGCAGGCCCAGGTCCTCTCTGCTGATGTGGGACCCCTGTCATGTCTGCCACAACGCACTGTTCTCTGCCCAGAAGCTACCAGAACCCCTCGGTGGGCAGAACCGAGGCTTAACATGTGCCTCTGGGCCCCACTGATACACCGTATAGATATGTATGTGTATATAGAGAGATTTATATAGGTTGTATATAGAATATATCTGTAAATACGGTAGACGTGTGTGTGTGGTACTAGGTGAGTGATGTGGAGACCTGCATGCTAGCCAGGCAGATAGAAACAGGGCTGGTGTGTTTCTCGAGCGGAGCGACTCAAAGACGGGCCCCTGATTCCTGCCAGCTGCTCAGCTAGGTCTCTAACAGTGAGTAGAAAAGCTAAGAAGGGTGTGCCCGGCTCTTCAAGGAGGGAGGATCCCCCACCCCCGCAGGCCACCCGCCACACCACCGAGCTGGGGTCAGCATCCAGGCAGCCAGGGCCACCTCCTGGTGGCTCCAGGGGGACTGTGGCCCAGGCAGAGGCAGCTCTTTCCGGGAAGACGAGTCAGGGATTCCTCCAACTTCCTTGGCACCCAGAGATGGAGGGTCAAGGAGGGTCTTCAGAACTCGGCCTTCTGCTCAAGATGCTGCCAGGGAGGGGGGAGGAGAGAGGAGGATCCTATGGCCCAGAAGAGGGCAGTGTGGCCGGTGGGCTGTGGGAGAGATAGGAAATGAAAGTAACAGGTTACTAGGGCCACAAGTGGGACCAGGGAACCTGGGGGGCAGAAGAGAAGGATCGGGGGCTGGCAAGGCTGGACACAACCTGCCCAGAGACCCGCACGGTGCTGTTGAAAGCCGCCAACTGGACCCAGGTTCTGGTCCCTTTTGCGCCAGGAACTTGCTGTGTAGTGTCCGTTGGCGCATCTGAACTTCAGATCTTTCTCTAGAATGTGAAGCCTGCCTGCCTCGCCCACCTCTGTGAGATCCGAGGACAGAACTGCCTGACCGTGTTTCACGAGCTGCAAAGAGCCATACAAACGCGAGCTCTCTGTCTCTCAATTCTGAGACACAGGCACTCTCCGGTTGGCACATCAGGTACCCCGGCCCCGGCCACCCATAGGCATTCTCTGCACGTGCAGCCCCTCCGTACTCGCTCTCCTCCCAGCCCCTCCTGACTCCCTCACCCACAAAAGCGCACACACACACACACACACACACCCTGAAGCAGAGACAGTTCAATAAACAATGGCGTCTGGCCCTCCTTGTGTCTCTGATAAAAGAGGCTGGATAGAAGCCTTCTAGAACTCTGCTCTGTAACTTCCCCCACCCTGGCCTTTGAAACCCATCTGGACCCTGGCAGCAGTGGGGTCTGCAGGCCCGGGGCCAGGGAGTCACGCCCTCTAAGGAGTCACACCCGTGCCGCCAAGAGACCAGGTGTGATGTGAGAGTGGAGACGGATGAGCTGGGGTAACCCAAATGTGGGGCACTCAGGCCCCCGGCCAGTCCCCCAAGTACTCCTCTCCAGTCTACGAGGAGCAGAAACGGGGAGGCAGGAGATGTTGGCGGTTTCCTAATGTTTGGGGTTTGGCGAGATTTAAATCCCAGGGGTCCAGCTGGGGCAAGAGAGGGGAGGGGACAGGACTTCGTGTCGGGAAATGTTATCCATGTGTTTCTGATTCACTGGGGCTCGCACCGGCCAGCTCTCCTCTCCCTCTAGGCCCCCATAAAAAAGCCCTTTTCTCTAGAAGCAGGAAGTCTTGTCTCCTGGCTATAAACAAACTCATCTTTGGCAGCAGAGCCTGCCTAGGGAGAGGCGTGGGAGGGCGAGCCCCCTTCCCCACACTGACCCCTCCCTGGCCCCTTGGGCTGCTTCCGGCAGCCATCCTGGCTCTGCCAGCACCTCCTGGAGCAGGTAACAGTGGCCCACCTGCTTCCCGTCCACCCTGAGGGCTGGGGCAGGCCAGAGGCCAGCTGTGCACATCTGGAGCCACTGCCTGGCTGTTGCCAGGAGTTCCCGGGGGCTCTGCTCTCTTGGGGGTGGTGCCGATGCAGGGAAGGGGGCAGGAGCAAGCTGGGGCCAGTGCGGTCAGCGGCAGGAAGGCCAGGAGGCCTGGCCTCTCCAGGCTGCCCTCGGGGGACCTCCTGCCGGAGCCGCGCGGGGACCCCTGTGAACAGGAGGTCCGCTGGCTCGGTGGGCCAGCTCAGAGCCAGGGGTGGGGGGGCGGAGGGGATACGCCGCCTTTTCCATGGGAAACTGCTGGGAATGTTTCTCTCCAGCGCGTGTCCTGAGCCGCTGGCTGACCCCTGCTTCCCATTCCCGCCTCCGCCCCTCTCTGTCCTTCCTACTCCAGCCCCGCCTCCACCCCTCCATTGAGCTCCCAGAGCCCAAGCCCCATGGGGGCCCAGGAAGGCCGGAGTGTTCCCAGGCACCATGTCTGGGGGCCAGCCCTCCCCCTTGTGCTCCGAGTCAGCTGGAGTCACTGAGGCCAGCCACCCTCTTCGAGCCTGCCCCCCAGGCCCTCACCCCAAAACTAGGGACCTGGCCTCCCAGGTCAGCCCAGAAGTACCGCCCCCTGCTGGTGTGCGTGGGAGGTACACCCACACAGGCCCTGAGTGGGTTTGGGCACGTGCACGCGTCCTCGTGATTCTGCTGGCTCCAGCCTGGTTGAGGCCGAGGCAGGAGGGAGAGCTGGTCAGTGTTAGATGAAAAACAGCCCCACGTGATTGGTACCCAGGGAGGAAGTGGCCAGAGCTGGCCTGGGCTGCCTCTGGGCCCGATGAGCCAGCCTTCCCTCCAGGAGTCTTTGGAGCCTCTCTGCCGGGGCAGCCTCGGTCTCGGGGTACTCTGAGTGCTCCCCAGTTCTAGGGAAGGCGAGGGCTCTGCCTGAGGAGTCTGGGGCCTTTTCTGATCCTGCCTGTTCTTAAATGCGTCAGAACCCAGATCCACCCTCCTGGGAGTGTTCCTGTCCTGATGATCAGCACGTGGGCCCCAGGAGAGGTGGGAGACCAGGGGACAGGGGAGGATGCGGCAGGGAGGCTGCCTCCTCACGTGGTGGCGTTGGGGACCTGCTGTACCCAGCCCACTTCCTTGTAGGCAGCGGTCACGTGACTGTAGATGAGGCCACGAAGCTTGGCCCAGGCTCTCTGTGTCTCGGGTGGGAAGTCGTTGGCAAATTCCTCGGCGATCACCTCCAGGATGACTCCAGAGAGGATCTGGGGACCAAGGGAGGAAGGCGGAGTAAATGCTTGTGCTTGGGCACCCCCAAAGTCCCCTGCATCCTTTCTATCCTGTGTTTGGCCCAGGGGATTGTTCATGACACTGCAACCCAGCAGCTTTGGGAACCAAACACACTCAAGACCGAGCCCCCACCCTGCTGCCCCTCCCAGTCACAGCTAGGCCTGGGGAAGATGTGCAGTGGTCCCCTCTGCTGACCCGGGGAGCCTTCCCAGAGCCTGCAGGCCACCGTTGGCTGTGGGAAGTGGGCCCTGAGGGGCTCAGGAGCCGAAGAGGATGGTGGGGGGGAGTGGCAGCACGCGTCTGTCCAGCGACATACCTTGAAGTACACAGGCTCCACCTTGTGCTTGAGGGCGTGGGCTTTGCCCACCAGGGCGAGCACAGAGGACACCTTCTCGGGGTCATGCAGGTTCTCCACCACAGTGTTGAGGGCCCCCATGACCCGGCAGGCGTGCTTCCGCAGCTGTGGGCTCCGCTCCATCTCCAGGGGCTCCTCCATGTGCTTGAACTGGCTGAAGTACTGCTTGGCCGATGGGAAGTTCACAAAGAACCTGGCAGGAGGAAGCGGGCGGGCGCTGATCAGGGGGCAGGCCCCCTCCCTGAAGTGGCCAAGATGATGGGGGGTATGCAGAAGTGGGAGAGGCAGGACCCACCCCCACCTCACCCCACTAATTCTTTTCCCCACACGGGTGGCTGTCCCTCAAACACAGACCCTTCCTCTGGCCTATGTGCAGTCCCTCTCCTACCAAGCTCCAGCCGTTTCCATGCGCCAGACTTGCTCAGGCTGGCAGCTTCCTCTTCCAGGCCCCTGTCTTCCTTGCTTCTTGCCTCCCTTCCAAACCCTATACACCCTTCAAAGCCTGGGGCAGTCACAGCTGAGAGACTCAGAGCTTGTGTTCCGGGATTACAGGCCGGTGTGACCTTGGGCAAGTTAAATTTCCTAAGCCTCAGTTTCCTCATCCATGAAATGGGCATCACTTTTCCTGTCTTGTGAGTCATGGGTTGTCACGAGAATGACACGAGAAAGTGCGCGTGCGGAGTCCTCCGCACAGTGTAGACACAAGGGGGCTCAGTAAATGCCAGCCTTTGTTAGGATAAAGTCAGAGCTCTCTTTGTAAACAAAGTAAAGCTCTGTGACTTAGCTCAGGTCACGCAATCACGGAAGGGAAGAAACAAGATTCAGTTCATCTCCTCCCAGCCCAGTCTTCCCTCTTCACTACACTGCTTCCCTCTTCAGCCAGCAGGAAATTTTCATCGATTGATTTACTTAAAGGTATCGACTGATGTCACCTGCCTGGTGTGGTTCTGTAAGTACTTCCTGCGTGTACATTCCACCTCTCCAATTAGCCTGAGCACAGCTCAGGGGCAGACCCTAGGGCTTTCAAGCTCTACCCCTTCCACCTCCAATTTATCTGAAATTATCTAATTCCTCCCAAATGTCACATTCACTAGGTCACTTTCATGCTCAGAATCATTCAATGGCTCCCTATTGTCTACTGGACAAAGCCAAAACTCCTTAACCTGGGATCCCAGGCTTCTTATAAACTGTCCCAATGTGGTATCCACATTCTCCCCTACACCCGAGCTCCACAGCTTCGCTCACCTTTGGTAAAGTGGTCAGGCACACCCTTCTCCCTCTTCTCCGGTGTCCCCCATGCCTCTCCCTGAGCATCCAACTGGGCCCAGGGTGACTGCTTTCCTTTCGAGGCCACTGATGGGTTCCCTGCCACCCTTCATGGTTTCTTCCCTTCTTGCCGGTCTGACTGGGTCCCACAACCCAAGGGCAGAGCCTGGGTCTCACGCACCCCCTGTTCCATCACCCCGGCCCAGGCCCTGCAGTTTGCTGGATGCTGGTGATGAGGGATGCATTCCCTCTCCTGCCCAGGGCAAGGTGTCATGGGAGGTACACGGCCTGACTCCACCAGAACTTACGCAGCTTAAATGTAGCCTCAGAAAACTACAGGATGGGATGTCTTGGACCTGTTTTTTCAGGTTGTTTCACACCTTTGGAGCGTCCTCCTTTGTGATCAGAGAGAGCTTAGTAATTTGCCAGAACAGCCCTTTCGCCAGGGGGTCGAGTCTCAGATCTGAGAGCAGGAACAGATGCAGGGAGAGCATCTGACCCCGGGTGTCTCTTCAGGAGATGAGGCTGAGGCTGGTGGGGAAGTGCCCAGGACAGAGTCCATGTGGAGAGCAGAGGGGGCCAAGCGTGACCTTGGGCAAATCACGTCAAAATCTGTCTGCTAAAGTGTGAGAGGAGTCCCCCGCGCTCCTGCTCACCACGTCGCAGATATCCTGGTGAGGGCAAATGAGGCAGTGGATCTGAAAATACACTGGATTTCTCTGGAGAAGCTTTGCTGTGAAGGGTGGTTATGAAAAACTCAATCTGGATTTAAGCGAGGAGCTCAGACTTTGGAGGTTTTACGCTGCTTTAAAAATAATCATTTCTGTTTGGCTGGTGTGTAACCATGTGCAAAGCATCTCCACCTGTTATTTCATTTAATGTCACAACAAAGTGGATCTTGTATCCATTTTAGTGATGAGGAAACCACGGGGAATATTTACTGAGCACTTACTCAATGATCTCATTAATCCTTGCGGTACCCTCCTGAGGTTGCACTCTTTTTATCCCCACATCCTGGATTAGGAAATTGATGACCAAGGTGGCCCAGCGAGGTGGGTGGCAGGACCAGGGAGGAGCCCGGGCAGTCCCTGCTTTGCTGGCTTCCCTATGCTGCTCAGAGGCTGCTCTACGGGGGGATGGTGGCCTGGGACCCAGTGGGTCTCCTCCCTTGACACTTATGCCACATCATGGCCCTAAGAAACTATGATCCCAAGGAGACTCTCTTCTGGGTGAGGGGAGTCTAGGGGGCCACATGCTCTGCTCCTCTGTCCTGGCTCCTCTCCTGGCCCCTCCGTGTTCAGTCCTGACCCTCCCTGTCCAGGCCTGGGCTGCCAGGGAGAAGCCTCAGCAGCCAGCTGGGGAGTTCCTCAGCTTCTAGAGGTGCCTGGGCTTCCAGGAGAGCCTGCAATAGGCTTGTCTGAGTGTGAGGAGGGAGGCAGCAGAGTTACAGCCGGGAGGGGCGCCTTCCTAGAGCACGGGTGCTCCCTCTCCAGGGAGTGGAGGTGCAGAGTCTGGGCAGCTCCTCCACTGCCAGAGCTGAGGGGCGACGTGGGGGTGCAGCTGGCCACAGCCCAGTGGGGAGGGAGGAGGTGAGAGTGACAGGTCAGAGGGCCACTGTCCCAGGCTCTATCTGGGGCCGTCTTTGTGGATGGGTGCATGAAGACAGGAGGGAGTTGTGAAAAAACTGAGGGGCACTCGAGAAGCTTATCAGCCTTGTCCTCCCCCTGACAACATCCCCCATCCTAGCTAGCCAGGTTCTGGGGCGGAAGGCAGGAGGAGGAGAAAAAAGCAAAGGGAGGCTGGTGGGATGTGGGTCTGGTGGTGGGGTGGGGGGGGCTTCCACACAGAGGAGGGGGCAGGTGGAGTGTGGCTGGGTTATCAGCAGGCCAGACCTAACTGCTCTCTCCGGGCTCTTCAGGTTAATTATGGGCCCTCTCTGAGACATGAACACTTGGTAAAGGCCTCCCCAGTGCAGACCTGGTCCCCTCTAAGAGTCGGGAACAGGGAACTAGAGGGGAACAGAGAGAGAAAGAAAACCTCACCAAGAGCTCAGATTCTCCAGGAACAGCTCTGCCCACAGAGTTCAGTTCCTTCCTCTGCACCCACCCCCATCCCCATTCCTGAGGAGGCTGGGTGCTGCCCCAGGAGCTGGGTCCTGGACACATCCCTTACATGTCCTCCCTGGCAAATGGCAGCCCACTGGGACAGAACATCTCCAAGGTCCTGTGGACTCTGCCTCTTCTCCTCTTGGTGACCCACGGGTGCACCCGGGAGCATCTTGAGGCCTGATGGGCCCGCGTGTGCCGACAGACAGCTGAGAGCAGCCCTCCAGGGAGGCAGCCTGGCGCATCTGGGACTCCACTGGCCACCCCGTGTGGGCGCTCGCACGTGCGGATCTGCACCTGCCCACGGCTGATGGCTTTGAGATCCGAAATCCCCTCTCAGCTTCCCCACCACCCCCGGCTGCGTTTCTGGGCCTGGGAGCTGCCAAAATAGCTGTCCCTTCCTCAGGAATTCTCCTGGAACTCCTCAAGAGTGTTTCTTGCTCTTTTTCCTCCTAAATCTGATTCTAAGTTGGAATCAGGGCACATCAATCTGGAGCTGGGTAGGTCCCAGGCTTGGGGGAGGCAGAAAGGAGAGAATGTGGGAGAGGAAGAGGAGCCAGAGATGGGACCAAGACAGGCATGCACTTCAATTGTCCTTTCCACAAGAGAGGTTCCACCCCATCTTCAAATAATAAGACTTCCTTGATCTGTCCTAGATTTGACAGCTTCCCTCTGCCAAGGACAGAGGGTTGCGAGTGAGTGTGGGTCTGGGGCCTCCGGGCCTGTACCCCCAGGGACCAGCACATGCGGGAAGAGAGCATCAATCTGTAGCTATGGTCAGTTACTAGCTTGTGCGGCTTGGGGATATTAACATAGGAATGGTGTGCGTGTGCACTGGTGTACTGGTGTGTGAATAAGAGTGTCACTTTGTGTGTGCGTGTGTTCCTTGGGGGCATGTGGTGCCTGAATGGAACCCTGAGCCCAAGACACATGGCCTTTCCTCCCCAGATGGGGGTTTCACAGTGAGGCCCTGTCTCCTGAAGCTTCTCCCTTTCCCTCCACTAAACTCAGCAGGGACTGTATCCTAGGGGAGGGTTTACTTTGCCACTCACCTGTGCCTCACCAGGGAGCTCCCTGCTGGCCCTGGTGGCAGGGGCAGGAAGAGGTCAGCTGGGGAAACGCACCTCAGGGTCTACTCCTTCTGACCTCTATTCTCCTGACCTTTGCGCTGGTCTTCCAAGAGTCTTTGAATATGGAAAGGGGCTGAGCTGGAGAAAGGGGTTTGCTCCTCTTTGTCCTTCTTGGTTGAGCCTCAGTTTTCCTGTCTCTAGAATGGGGAGCCCCCAACGACCCCACTGGAAAGGCTGGTAAAATGTGTGTCCATTACAGCTCGGTTGGATGGCTGGGGTCGCTGGTGAGGAAGGCATGGCTGGCTGAGCAAGGAGTTCTGAGGCCGGGGAGAGGAGAGGGATGGAGGTGCCCTCCTTCTGCGTCTGGTTCCTAGTTCCTGGTGAGCCCCGCGCCCAGAGCCAGGAAAGGCTCGGCCAGGGTTTCGGCCACCCCAAGGTGCCCCACGCTGCCCGCACCC